TTTTTGTGCTGACATTGATATACATTTTTTTTGAGTGGGGGAGGGAGCAAACATGTCAATTTTAAATAGTGTCCTGCAGACCGGCAAAAAGTTTCCTTCAGTTGCGCTTGATACCACATCGGGTACCTACTCCTGGGTCTGAAATTCAGACCCAGGAGTATCCAGTCCCGGAAATCCAGCATGCATCTATTCAGACTCTGAATAGATGCATGCTGGATTTCCGCACATAAGAATCCGAGCATAATGCTTACATCTACTACGTCCATAATTGCGGACACCGCACCAAGAACAGCCTATAGGCGTATATCGACGGTGAAACTACCAAACCACGTATCTCGTTTGCGGTGTTTAAAAATCTACGCTCACATTTTATTTTTTTGAAGTAGACCAAATCAATATCATTCCTTGAAATTTTCACAGAATTTTCTCCGCATGAAGAGGAAAAATCACAGAAATTTTCAAGACTGGATGTTAAGTAGTTTTTCATTTAAAAAATAAAGTATGACAGGAAGTCTGCGACGTCGCAAACCGATATACGTGGTTTGGTAGTTTCACCGTCGATATGTCGTTATTACGCCCATCTGCTTTTCGGATTCAACGTACCCTGGACTATGCTGTGGTAGCGATAGAATATAGATAGGTAACGGCTCGAAGTCGAAAAACCTTTTTTTTTTCCGAGTTAAGTCAGGCCTCTGGATCGATGTGTGCAAGAACAACCTATAAACGGGCCTATAAGGTGCTAGTTACTCCTTCCTTTACTCACTATCGATATTCTTTCATTTTGCGTTAATCATGCGTGATGAAAATGATTTATACTTCATGTTGCCACCAAAATGACTGCTGGGCGGAATAACGGCCTATAAACCGCTTTTTTAAATTAAATTTATGAGAGTATAAACCCAAAATGTATCGCAAAATCTACCCGGCATCCTTCAATAGAAGGGTTAGGTCACCCAAAAACACCAGAACAGGGTACCTGCATAGATGAGTCTGCGCAGTACATCGAAAACAAAACTTTAAATGCGTTTTTCTTATAATATAGGCTGTTCTTGGTGCGGTGTCCTCAATTGAAAGAGCCTCCATACAAGCTGGGCTTGTCGATTTCCTTTGACATTTTTGCAGTGGTGAATGCATAGCTGAAGTGCGCTCCAGCTAGAATTGAATTTAGCAAATGGGTGGTTTTTAAACGAGGATTAAAAATAAACAAGTGGTACGGAACAAAACAAAAGAATATGAACTATATAATGGACCGTATGATGATTTAAATTTCTGACCGAACTGTTTTCTAACGCTTCAGTCAAGTAAAACACAAATTTATTGAGTTGCATCAGCTCGTAAAAACAGTAATTTTATTGATTTTGTGCTCCAATTTCTTGCGAAACTACAGACCTGATATCGAAACTTCGCTGTTTTGAAAACGCCTTCAAATGCGGCGTGATACCCCACGCATTTCGAAGAGTTCAAATAGTTGTATCATTGCACCTTAGAAATGCGACGGCAGATTACAATTGAAATATCCTTCATACACGCTGGTCTTGTCAATTTCCTTTGACATTTTAGTAGTCGTGAATGCATAACTAAAATGCGCTCCAGCCAGAAGTGTATTCAGCAAATGATTAGTTTTTATAGGAGGATTGATAACAAACAAATGGTAGGAAATAAAACATAATAATAAGAACTTTGCAACGCGATAATCCAGGTATCGGACCTTGGCTGTTTTGAAAACGCCTTCAAATGCGGCGTGATACCTCAAACATTCCGGAGCGTTCAAATAGTTGTAACATCGCGCCTTAAGAATGCGACGGTAGATTAAAATGGAAATAGCCTCCATGCCCGCTGGGCTTGTCGAAACATCGGGATTATCGTGTCGCATAAAATTCGGAGCATGAGATAAATGAAATGACTAGTCTCAAGAGCTTGTGCGGCAGATATGCACACATCTCCTTGTTTTAATTTTTGGTTGATTCCTTCATTTCCAGTTGGTAATGAGCCTGTATTTTTCTCTAATGGGATTTCGCTCTATTTAAGCTTCTTACATTCATTTTTCACCGTACATTCATGTACATTATTGTTGATTTGAGTTCCTATGATTTCGGTACATATAATTCTTATTTATTTTAAATTCTCCCACAAAACTTATGCATTTGCTGAATTCAATCCTAGCTTGAGAACACTAAAACTGTGCGTTCAAAACTGCCACGGAAAACCGACAAGTCTAGCGTGGAGGCTACCTCATTACTAAATATTCCTTCGCATCATCCTAAGGCGCAGTGATACAACTATTCGTACTCTCCGGAACGCGTGAGGTATCACGCCACAATTGAAGGCGTTTTCAAAACGTTATCGGTTCAAAACTATACATCGGGATTCCCGTGTCGCATATAATTCGCAGCATGAGATAAATGAAATGACTGATCCCACGAGCTTGTGCGGCAGATATGCACGCATCTCCTTGTTTTAATTTTTGGTTGATTGCTTCATTTCCAGTTGGTAATGAGCATGTATTTTTCTCTAATGCGTTTTCGCTCTGTTTAAGCTTCTGACACACATTTTCTCACTGTACATTCATGTACATTATTGTTGATTCGAGTTCCTATGACTTCGGGAGATATGATTCTTACAGCTTATTCATTAATATCCCCCCCAAAAAATTATGCATTTCCTACATACAATCCTAGCTTGAGAACACTAAAACCGTGCGTTCAAAACTGCCACGGAAAACCGACAAGTCCAGCGTGGAGGCTACCTCATTACTAAATATTCCATCGCATTATCCTAAGGCGCAGTGATACAACTATTCGTACTCTCCGGAACGCGTGAGGTATCACGCCACAATTGAAGGCGTTTTCAAAACGTTATCGGTTCAAAACTATACATCCGGATTCTCGTGTTGCATAAAATTCGTAGCTTGAGAAAAATGAAATGACTGATCTCACGAGCTTGTGCGGCAGATATATGCACACATCTCCTTGTTTTAATTTTTGGTTGATTGCTTCAGTTCCAGTTGGTAATGAGCCTGTATTTTTATCTAATGGGTTTTCGCTCTATTTAAGCTTCTTTCACACATTTTTTCACTGTACTTTCTTGTATATTATTGTTGATTTGAGTTCCTATTATTTAGATACCTATTATTCATAATTATTTTAAATTCTCCTACGAAAATTATGCATTTGCTGAATTCAATCCTAGCTTGAGAACACTAAAACTGTGCGTTCAAAACTGCCACGGAAAACCGACAAGTCTAGCGTGGAGGCTACCTCATTACTAAATATTCCTTCGCATCATCCTAAGGCGCAGTGATAAAACTATTCGTACTCTCCGGAACGCGTGAGGTATCACGCCACAATTGAAGGCGTTTTCAAAACGTTATCGGTTCAAAACTATTCATCGGGATTCTCGTGTCGCATAAAATTCGTAGCTTGAGAAAAATGAAATGAATGATCTTACGAGGGTGTGCGGCAGATATGCACACATCTCCTTGTTTTAATTTTTGGTTGATTGCTTCAGTTCCAGTTGGTAATGAGCCTGTATTTTTATCTAATGGGTTTTCGCTCTATTTAAGCTTCTTACACACATTTTTTCAACGGTACCGTAAGAAACTAAGGAACTGCTTTACATTCATCACAATATCGCAGTGAATACAGGAATTTACCAGCGGTTTTGTAAGACCTATACACTCAAACGCCCGTAATTAGAGACGAGTGAGCAAAGATTTTCCTTAATTGTCACGTAAAATCACATCACATACTAACTCCGGAAATCATAGCGCGCTTGATTTTCGCTTTAAATGATACAAGAATAATGCCTACAGTAATAAACTTCTTTAATTTGAGAAAAATTAAAAGCTTAGATTGTCCTTCATTTCCGCGTGATACCATATAGCATTCCTACAGAGTCCGAATAGTTGCAGGTTGCAGGCTTCATTTACACATTTTACGATGTGAGCATAATGTCTACATTCATAAACGTCAGTAATTTGAGACAGGTGAAAGCCTAAGATTTTCCTTCATTTCCGCGTGACACCGTATCTTCTGAATTTCACGATGCGAGCATGATGCCTACATTCATAGACGTCACAAATTTGAGACACGCGGTAAGCTAAGATTTTCCTACCTTTTTGCGTGATACCACATTGCATACCTATAATCCGAAGTCAAAATACGTCATAAATGCGCTGTTGATAGTTGACGGTAGTTTTGACCATCAGGAGCATGGAATTTTGAATTAGTTTATCGCCGAGGATATTTCGAAGCCTTTGGAATTTTTTTTTAAATTTAATCCGAGAAAGTTGAAAACGTGCTCTACATAAGAGACCACATGCGACTGGTTGAGAAAGGACTTTCGATCCATGCCTATTTGGACTGCATTTTGCAATTTGGACCTATAAATTCTGGCCCGGTTTAAAAACAAAGTATGTGCCATTAGTTTCCCTATGCACATAAGTGTTTTTTCAGATGAGCCAGAATTCATAGGTCCAAATTGCAAAATGCAGTCCATTTGACATTGTCTCGAATGGCCATGTGGAGCAAGGAAATTTTCCAAGGACTTCTCGTCGCCTATAGATTTTGGTTTACATTTGATGTGAGGAAGTTAAAAACGCGCTATAAATAAGGGGGCGCATGCGACTGATCGCGAGAGGAATAAGATTCGTGCAAAGAAACTTATTGCCAGTAACTCCTGACCAAGATGGGTATAACGTTTCCTATGCATAGATTCAAACTTCCCGCTTATGAAAAAAATAAGAGGAAAAAACTAAAATCTACTTGAGTTGAACCGCACACTAAATGTTACCATTAGGTTAGATTATATTAGGTTGATACTAACAAATAAGAGTGACGAATGACTTCATGCATCAGCCAAACCACATGATACAATAACACCTTCGGTACTCTGGGGAATTGTTGTAAAAACAAAACAAAAACAAAAGAACAAAAGACAGAAGAAAGAACAGAAAAGATCAGAAAACCGAAGAAGAACAGGGGCGCTTCAAAATATAACAATCTCAATAAATAAGTAATCTTGTATTTACATGAATTTACAACAAAACGAATAAATTAATTTTCAATTTAATTTTAACTATCACATTTGTCTTGTAATCTACATTTTAGAACTCTATATACCACGGCAAACTTACGATACGAATGTGTTGATTTTCATTGGCAGTACAGAGAAAACTTGGTGAAATTTTCAAACGACTTAAAGTAATAATTTTTCTTACTTAATTCTGTAAAACGATAAAGTGTTAAGAAAGATTTTCCATATTTTCATGCGGGACTTGTAATACATCCACAAAAAGGAACGAATTCAATTTGGACTACATTTTGCAATTTGGAACTATAAATTCTGGCTCTTCTGGAAAAACACTTGTGCGCATAGGGAAACTAATGGCACATACGTTTTTTTTTAACCGGGCTAGAATTTATAGTTCCAAATTGCAAAATGCAGTCCATTTCTTCCCTTAGATTAGATGTCTGCAACTGATTTTACAGAGAACGCATCGGGAAAATTCTGGGATCGGTTCATTCATTGTAAGATTGATTTGAGCCACCCCAAAGCAAAAATGTTCATGATAAGTAATTTTTAAAAACAAGGGAACGTAGAGTGTAAACTAAGCTGAGTTTTAGCTTTTCATTGACTAAAGTTGTCTTTATAATGCTTCTGTCCAGCCCTCGCAGAAAATATTAGTAACTGTATTCATCGCTAGTCGCTGTGACCCAATAGACAGTTCTACCATTTAAGTCCTGAGTTCCTCGATAGTTTGATTTAATCACTTTATTACCTGCGCCCCGTATATGGCGAAATTCGTCCACCTGAAAGCACAGAGAAATTTCAGTGGTTTAAAAAGAGGAAGAGATCGGTTTTAGTGGCGTTATATCATGCATTTTTGTGTCTTTTTTACTTTGTTACTGGCACACAGCTCTTGCTCCAGTGGCATGGCGTGAATGATCGATGATCGATTATCGATATTCCTCCATTTGAACGTATGGTAAAAGATCGATTATTGAGGTGTTCACTGCGAACACCCTGTTTATCGATCCTTTTCCATAGGTTTGAATGACACATCAATCGATGTATCGCAATGCGCGCCACGCCACTGTACTTTCTCCAAAAATACATTCATCGACCACTGGAAAAAGTATAATTGAAAGGCTGCGATAGGATTGCGCGAATGCCCCCTATTTTACCTTTTCAGAGATGCATAAGATTTCGCGAATTTTTCTGGTACTGAAAACTTACATGTTTGCGCGAATATTATGATTATAAAAAAATAAATAATCAACGAGGAAGCGTTAATCTGGCAACCTTGGTAGTTTGTGGTAGATAACTACATCGTAAAAGACTGTTCATTCCCCCCTCACTTATAGGCATGTCTCTCTTCGATGGATAGCCCATGCAGCACGAATGGCCCGGAGAGCTTCCATAGACATTTAGAAAGTGAACTATAGGGGCCTGTGGCCGCTACGCGGCCGCCAACCGCCGAAAAAGGCCACACGGAAAAAATCTTAGAACAGACATGTTCAAGCTTTATGAGAGATGAATGGATTCAAAACCCGACGGGTGCACCCGAAAGGAATCGTATGATGAAGATGTTGCATATGTGAGGGATTTGCGATTTGACCATTGATTCGTATGTAAAAGTTCGCGAGGAACACGATGGTGCCACTGGTTTTCTCTGAAATCATCTCCCAAGCACAAAAAAAGCTCTCAAAAGTGAGGCCAAAATGGAGGGGATATCCCACCCTACCCTGAGAGTCCACCTCTACATCAAAACAAACTCTCCATGCAAAGATAGGGAGCAAATACATTAGCAGGGTTGCCACTTTATTTCGGGACTCCAAAACTGAAAACACGGTAACCCTGCTAATGTATTTGCTCCCTATCTTTGCATGGAGAGTTTGTTTTGATGTAGGGGTGGACTCTCAGGGTAGGGCGGGATGTCCCTTCCATTTTTGCCTCACTTTGAAAGCTTTTTTCGAGCTTGAGAGATGATTTCAGAGAAAACCAGTGGCACCATCGTGTTTCTCGCGAACTTTTACATAAGAATCAACAGTCAAATCGTAAATTCCTCACACTTCTCCATTATCTCTGATTGCAACGTAATGCACCACTTTTATGTTTTATTTTTAGAGAATGTTTTTAATAAGCTACACACAGTTTTTCTGAAAAGTTTCCGCGAATTTACCTAAATGATCTCAAATAAAAGTAGCAAAATCGACGCGATGTCTTCGTTCGCTCTATTTTATTTTAAAGTAACCAAAAAAAATTGAAAATCATCCGAGTTTCTGAATCGTTACAAGGAAGATACATATTTTCCCTGTAATTATGGTAAAAACTGGAGCAGATGGGTAAGAATGATGACTCGCAGTCCTATATCATTTATATAGTCTTGTCGGCGGTAGCGGTAACGTGCGTTTCGCGCCAACTGACCGACTGCACTGCATTTGGCGCAATGCGTGAAGTATTCCGACAGTCTTGCAGGCGCTACGGTGAACGCCGGCCGCAGTGTGTTTGACGTGATTATTCGAACTCGCGTTAGAATAATCGCGACATCGAATAATAGAGCTTAAAAGGCCCATGCTATGTTCCGACACCGTATGAGTATTCCAACGTAGTCTCGTTTCTCCCGATTAAATATTTTTCCGAGAAAAGTTAAAAAGCTCTTGATACCCACGACAATTATTCAAAGGCAAGACATCGATGACTTGTAAACAAACTAACCTAAAACTAACGTTAACATAAAAATGCGCTTATTTCCCAACTGTTTCCTGTTTTGCCAAACTTCTACCTGAAATTAACTTCATTTTAAATTCGCGTATTCCTGTCGCAGATGTTAAGATTTCTATTCGCGCAATCCTAGATTACCGGAATAAAATTAATGCAATTCTTGTTTCCTTGCAAACATTCCATAGAGAACTGGGGTAAACAGACTGGGGATTTAAGAAAGAATTAAATTAATCATTAGCCTTTACAGTTAACGTTAGACCTGGTCGATTGAAGTTTTTTGCTTATAATAAGACTGCAACATAAATTTACTGCGGAACATTCTTCTGACTGAATTCTAAAGGATTTTCGGAGAGAGGCGTTTAAAAAATAAGAATTATGATGAGTTTTGCAGCTCATTAAAAGTTAAAATTGATTTAACTGAGCTAAAAATGCTGAGTTCAAGTACCTTTGTCTTACGAAGTTTACAATGAGGCAAGTTCCTGGGAGGTTCTGGAGGACCATAGAGTGAGAACTTGAACTCTGAGACCCGGCAAAAAAAAACCAATGTTGGAGTCAAAAATACTCATTTTCAGTTTTTGATCTGAGATATTTTAGTACTCCAAAGAAAAATAACACGAAAATAATCAAATTGCTGATTTAACAATTAAATTGCTAAAAAAAAAGTGACTGCAATATATTTCAACGTAGATTTCACAACACAAAAATACTAGGTACTTTAACCACTACATACTGTAAGCTAATTTAACCACGGGGGTGGTGAAATTAGCATTTTTGTGTTGTGAAATCCACGTTGAGATATTGCAGTCGCTTTTTTTAGCAATTTAATTGTTAAATCAGCAATTTAATTTTTTCCGTGCAAGCAATTATTTGCTACTGTCAGGATTGCTTGGCATCTATCTGCCACGCTTTTGATTGCGCAGCTGCCAGACTTCCTGCGAAAAGTGGCAAGCACAAGAACTGACCTGAGATTCCGTGACGGAGGCCCATTTTGGATAGACAATCCACAGAACATTTTCACTATAGGGTTTGGTCGTGAGGGAGCCGTAGTAGAAGAAGTAGTCGCCGGGGGTCGCTATTGGCTTAAGGCACGTCAGAATGTTAGGCTCAGCGGCCTCCTCCGACTTAGCTGATCGAAGTTTGGTTAGATGGTGGACAATCAGGTTGAACCGATTATTTGTGCGAGGGTTTTTTTCCGTCACCTGCAAAGCATTGAGCAAAAGCTTCCAAGTTAAGATTAACTGCGTAGGCTGGAAAGATTAACTGGAATCAACCCAATGGACCACTAGAGAAGGTACAAAGTTAAGCCTTCTGATACACGTTTCTTTACCAAACACCCTATTGTTTATCTCCAAGAGATGAGGGCATAGAATAAAGAGACTAACATAGTCTATTTATTCTATGATGAGAGTCTCCTATCCATTCTATGATCACATTTTGACGGTATAAGTCGGCAATCACATAAATCGGTTTGCGACGTCGCAAATTTCCTGTCATACTTCATTTTTTAATCGGAAAACTACTCAACGGCAATTCTTTAAAACTGCCGTGATTTTTCTTCTCTGTGCGAAGAGCATTCTGTAAAAACTTCAAGGAATGGTGTCAATTTGTTCTCCTTTAAACAAATAACACGAAGGCGGAGATTTTCGGACACCGCAAACGAGATATGTTATTGCAGACTTACGCCGTCGATTTTCTGACTATGTGGAAGATCATTGGAAAACACTGAGATGCTCTACTTTTAATTTCTCTGCAAGTTTATGTCACGAAAATGGATCCCTCGAAATGCATTCCTGGGACTAGACTTAATCAAATTTATAAGAAAATGCTAAGCCTCGTGTCCCAGAAATTGGGTAGGTTAAGTCAAAATGTCGATAACTTAAGTGTAAAATATTTAAATTCTAACAAGCACTGATTCTGTTACCACTTACCTTCAGAAAAAATGCCACAACGCATAGTCCGTCCACTTTTCCACGAGCTTCTTTAATATTTTTGTACTTGCTGTGATGATGAACAAAATGTACCTCCATGGAATATCTGAAGAAGAAAAACAAAACTAGCTTGGTAATTTGCTGGATAGAAATAACTTGGAGATAAATCGAGAGTTTTGAAGAAAGTCATACAGATTCTTTCTTGCCCATAAAAACGCCTAACTACGGACTGATTATTGGAATGGATAGACAAAGCAATAGACGAAGGAGACAAATTGAAAATGGAGCGATCCTATTAGTGGAATCGAGTGGTTGCAATGGACAGCTAGGGGAAGTCAGTAATGGACTAACTACCAAACAACAACCCAAGCGAGACCCCATATCGACGGTGAAACTACCAAACCACGTATCTCGGTTTGCGACGTCGCAGACTTCCTGTCATACTTTATTTTTTAAATGAAAAACTACTGAACGTTCAGTCTTGAAAATTTCTGTAAAAATTTCAAGGAATGATATTGATTTGGTCGACTTCAAAAAAATAAAATGTGAGCGTAGATTTTTAAACACCGCAAACGAGATACGTGGTTTGGTAGTTTCACCGTCGATATAGTAAGCCCATCATTTCATCCCACATTGTTTGTCCACAGTTAGTACGCTCATCCGTTTCAATCAATAGAATATTTTCTTTTCCCTTTGTCTTCTTTGTCTATCACCTCGTCGAACAATTTTAATAATTTGCCTGCTACATGAGGAAACTAGTGGAACGTACTTTATTGTTAAAAAGTCAGAGATGGTAGTTCCAAGCAGCAAAATTTAGCCCATACTTACGTCCAACCATTGGTCACCTTCCGGCGAAAGTATCACAAGCGCCATATATGCGACGTTTCAAAGTTTCCGCTGCCATTTTACTTTTTACAGAGAAATTATTCGAAGCTGTCCGAAAATTTCCCTGAATTTTCTTTGTGCTGCAGATAAAATTCAGATTCAACCAGCAATTTCTCTGAATAAAGGAAATTACGGCGAACATTTTGACACGTCGCATGGCGCTCGCAATACTTTGGCCGAAAGGTTGAATAGAATGGAAATGGAGTGGAAATACGCAAAGGAAAGAAAATTGTGCAGGCTCAAGAATTAAAAAATACCTCCTAGTCTTCACATGATAACACACGATTCCGAGACCAAAACAGCAAATGGACCACTGGACAAGGTACAGAGTTTAGCATTCTGATACATGTTTCCTCACCAAAATGTCACGTAGAACAAGATTTGCGCAACGAAAATAACTGAAATCGACTCGCCTAATTAAGATATTTAATGTTTCTTAACGCGTGAATTCAAACCTCCCGCTCATGAAAACACAATAGTCTACGTGAATTAAATCGCACACTGAACTTTACCATGACAATCTCTGCAATATGAAATTCTGGCGACCTCAATCTTGACGCTTTGGCTCAGCTGTAGCAAATTGTTTACAGTTTAAACGATAACGGGTGGGGAAGGAACAATGCTTGATTGAGAAGCCAGCCAAAACTGTTGTGAGGCGCGATTTGACTCACGTAGAGAATCGCGTTTTTTGTGACCGGGCAATTCAAAATTCTCATGACCAATGTAAAATAAAAACGTCAATATCTTAGTTAGAAGTTGATTTCAGTAATTTTCGATGCATGAGTCGTGTACTGATTGAAATTCTAGTTAGGAAAAATGTATCAGAATGCTTAAATTCGTACCTTGTCTAGTGGTATAGAGTATCTGTATACAGGAGAGTATTGCCATCTCAATCCTTTTACTACAGAAAAAGTGTACCACTATCTGATTGGTTGGCTATCATGGAGCCCCAAAGTTGGACCAATGTAAACAAGCCCCAGCCCCTCCGATCCTAGCTTGGTGGTTTGGCCCAATGTAAAGAAACAAGATGGCGACAAAGTTCTAGACGTGATTTTGGATATGATAGAAATTTTTTTATGATCAACCTCCGAATTGAGTTCGGATCGACTTCCAATGAAAATTTTTGCCGAAAATTAAGCTTTGAGTGTGATTATCATTCCTTTCTCAGCCGACAATACGTATTCCGCTGGGTCGGGTTTGTTTACATTGGTCCAAGTTTGGAGCTCCACGATAACCTAAAATTGATGAACCATAATCAGAGAGCGGCACAGAGATGGCAATACCCAAGTAGCATTTTTCAACGGAAAAATCGCGATTTTATTGCAACAAGATCGAAGATAATCGCTCAAATGTTGATGATCTTAGCGATTTTATCGCCGACAAAATCGCAACAAATCGCCATAAAAATCGCCAAATCGAGATTAAATCGCCATATATCGCGATTTTTGTTGTAATAATATCGCGATAAATTGCCGGGCGATAAAATCGCGATTTTATTGCAACAAGATCGAAGATAATCGCTCAGATGTTGATGATCTTAGCGATTTTATCGCCCGGCAATTTATCGCGATATTATCGCAACAAAAATCGCGATATATGGCGATTTAATCTTGATTTTATCGACGAAAATTGATCGCGATTTTGTTAAACAAAAAATTGCGATGCATAGCGATTTAATCGCTATAAATCGCAATTTTTTATTTGATAATATTGCGATAAATTGCCACCGATATAATCGCGATAATCAACCGATAAAATCGCTATTTATCGCGATCACTGCTACTTGGGTACTCTCCCGTATACAGGTACTCTATAGTGGTCCATTCAAGCGCTGAAGAAAGAGGAAATTTAAACTGACAAGCGGTTGCAGAGAATACAGACTCACTGGTGGCCATTAATGGTGTGCTCACTCCCGTGGCTGCTGCGATTGCCCCAGTGGAAATGAGCTTGGGAAAATTTGTACGTCCCGTGAAGTGGACCACCTCGCAAAGACGCGTGGTATTTGGCACTTGAGGCTTCACCGATCTCCACTAGAATCAAACGGAGGGCAGGGTTTATTTGCACAATGATATCCACTTCAAATCATACAAAACTGCATTGGTAATGGGTCAGATGTGCTGGTCACAAAATCGCGACCGCACACAGCGAAGTTCACGCAAGAATATTTACTTTTTGAAAATTTAGAGAATAGAAAATTCGCCGCACTGTGTTTGGCGCAATGCGTGAGGTATTCTTGCACTCTTGTAGGCGCTAATATGCGTCTCGTGCCGACCAGCGCAGCGCAGCAGCCGCACCGTGTATGGCGCAATGCGTGAAGTATTCCTGCACTCTTGTAGGCGCTCTTCTGCGTCTTGCATTTACCGGCAGGCTGCCGCACTACGTTTGGCGAGATTAGAAACGATGATACAGCATTAGATTTGAAAGGAACTGTAAAGACTGAGGAGAGATAACAAGTTTAAAGAATGACCGCGGGTAAAACTGAACAAACGGTTCGTGCAAAGTCCAGATAAAAATATTCAGATAAAGAGTCTGTCGAAAATTAAATGAAAACAAGGAGCAGTAGCTAATGCGCGTAAATTTTCTCACGTGAAAAAGAAACTTACATCGAAGGAAAATGTTGACGTGAAGAGACAGCGTTTATTTCTTTCCACTCTCCCGCGTTCAGCTCTCCCATATCAACTCAACCGATTTTATTCATATCTTTTTTTTTTATTTTTCGACTGCGAGGTCGCAATCTTCACCCACTGGGGGATTTCAACACTTTCTCATATTTTTTTCGTAAAAACACTTTAATATTTTTCATCCGGTAAGGTTGGCTGGATTCATCCTTTTTTCTTCTAAATTTCATCTCCTTTCTCTTATCCTCCAACCATCTCGTTTATCAACCCTAAAATTGAATTACTAAACTTGCAGCTGATAGCTACATAGATTATAGCCAGCCAATCACGCGTCGGCTTGTTGTCGCCCCACCAGTGACGTCAGCAAGTCTATATTAGCGTGCGCTGCCCAAAAATCTAGGTCTTACTCCATCTTTCTGACTCGCGACTTACGTCCCTTGCAAGACGGTCTTTTTCCATCGCTTAGACCCTGCGAGCTGATTATTGAAATTGATAGACAAAGAAGACACAGAGAGTAATGAGCGATCCTATTGGTTGAAACGGGTGGCTCTAACAGACTAAGAGAGAAAATGATGGACTACTTGTCGGATCTCCCGTGGGTTGCCGTTCGATATTCTATTACCTGCCTCCTTTGTCCATAGCAACCACCCGCTTCCACCAATAGGATCCGATCCCTACATATCCCTTTTGTCTTCTTTGTCTATAGCTTTGTCTATCAATTTCAATAATCGGGCCGCAGGCCTGCATCTCCTCGTTTCTCGGCCTCTTCCCATCTAATGCTAAAGTTCTGAATAGTGTGTCTCTCATTGTGATCTCTGATTTTGTGAATCTGTGCTTTAATCTCATACATTCTCGCGATTGGACTTGGACTCGGACTTATTTTTCCTTCGCTTTGATTCTCGTGTCTTCCGCACACGTTTTGAGTTAATTTCTTTATTGTTAATTATCTTTCGTTAGCCGAGTGCTAACTGCAGGGTTGCCACAGAATTTAGGAAATGAAATTCCCTGACATTTCCCTGATTTCCCTGACACGTGTTGGTGAAATTCCCTGACAATTGAGGATATGCTAAATGGTAAAAAGCCATTATTAGAAATAGTTTTCGCCCAAAATATTTCGTTCGAAACGTTAAATAACCCATTCTGAAAAGCAAAAAAAGGTGACTTGATAATTTTTCCCTGACATTACCCGGCGTTCCCGGTATTCACTGACTATGACAACCCTGTAACAGGTGCCGAAACGGTTCGAAGAACATTTTTTTTACCCTCGTGTTCAAACGAATAATTTTGACATGATGCCAGAACACCCATGTTCAAAGGCACATTTCTGACATAGTGCCTCAACCTCGGTTCAACCCTTATATTTCAACAGAGGCGGATCCAGGAATTTGGCAACACCGTATTTCCTCCATTTAAACCTATGCTAAATAATCGATTCTTCTCGGAGCACCCGGTTCCTCTAAGAATCGATACATTTCCATAGGTTTACATGGCGGGATTCCGGTGTTGCCAAATTGCTTGATCCGCCAAAGTCATTCAAAGCCCTGATTCTGCCATGATGCCGAAAACCCTTTTCCAAAAGAGTTTAAATTCTGACATGGTGCACTCAACCATTATGTTTTAACTGTTTAATTCTGAAGATGCCCCCCCCCTCCCCAACCACGCCCAGATCACCCATCTTCATCTCTTCCACTTGCATCGATACAAAATCATCGAGATTTACTTCCCAACATGTAACGAAGCGTGCACACCAGAGACGCTGGGATGGAAATGGCCGATGCGGAACGGCAGTCAAGTTCAAAGTGATTGTGACTAATGAACCACGAACGACAGTAATGGGAACCACGGCTGATTTGTCGATTCGCGCCGCAGGCGTCTACCACTCCACGGGACCCGCCCAAATTGTATGCGTTCACTCTTGAGCATCTGCGAGCTGATCGTTGAAATTGATAGACAAAGATATGGATAAAGTAGACAAAACGAATATCGACGCGGCGTAAGTCGGCAATCACATATCGTCACCTTCCAGGCAAAGTATCACAAGCGCCATGCGACGTTTAAAAATTTCCGCCGCCATTTTATTTCTTTACTGAGAAATTGTTGGTTGAATCTGTTTGGAAATTTCACTAAATTTTATCGGCAGCACAAAGAAGATTCAGTGAAATTTGCGGACAGCTTCGTTGAACAATTTCTCTGCAAAAAAATAAAATGGCGGCGGAAATTTTTAAACGTCGCATGGCGCTTGTGATACTTTGCCTGGAAGGTGACGATATCTCGTTTGCGGTGTCTGAAAATCTCCGTCTCCATGTTATTTTTTTACAGAAGAACAAACTGACATCATTCCTTGAAGTTTTTGCCGAATTTTCTTCGCACAGAGAAGAAAAATCACGTCAGTTTTAAAGAATTGCCGTTGAGTAGTTTTACATTTAAAAAATAAAGTAAGACAGGAAGTCTGCGACGTCGCAAACCGAGTTATGTGATTGCCGACTTACACCGTCGATATGGAGGGATCCTATTGGTGGAAATAGATGGTTGCAATGGACAAAGGAGGTACGGAAATAGACTACCTGACCGTTTCTACCAATAGGATCACTCCATACTCCTTGTGTCATCTTTGTCTCACGCTTTGTCTAACACTTTCAAAAATCAGACCGCTGCGCTGGCCAGCTGAAGAAAAGGACAGTTTGGACCCAAATTGTGTGCGTTCACTCTTGAGCATCTGCGAGCTGATTGTTGAAATTGATAGACAAAGATAGGGACAAAGTAGACAAAACGAATATGGAGGGATCCTATTGCGGTAGAAATAGATGGTTGCAATAGACAAAGGAGGCACGGAAATAGACTATCTGGCAACTTACGAGAGATCCTGTAGTTAGTCTACAATTAACTCCCTTAGTCTATAAGAGCCACCGGTTTCAACCAGGCCCGCCACAAGGGGGGGGGGAGGGATACTGAGTCCTTGGTACCGGGGCCCGGGCCCTGGAGGGGCCCGTGACGCAGGTGACAAACCACTACGAATTCATGTGTAACCCTAGTCTCGAAGGGAAAAGTGAAAAAATTACCCTAAAAATTCCGAAAAAGGTGAATAAAGTTTCAAATACACGCTAGGGCACTATAAAATTTTTCTTACTTTTTTAGAGATTTTCAAGATTTTGAGTATATGTAGAATGCTATTTTTAGTAACTGTGTTTCATTTTCTTCCGTTGTCGGATGCTAAGAGGCTCCTTTCTGGGCATCCTCGACTTCAATGGCTTAACTTCCTTGCCATAGACGTACGAAAGGGGAG